CATCTTTACAATAGACACTATGCCTGAGCCCATTGTTGCAGCCGCTATGTCAATCTATCTCATTGAGGGTCTTTCTGCTTTTCACTGTCCCTCCACTTAACCAAACATATCCTTCTCCAGAAACTTGTCTCTCTTGACAATAGGTCCAAAATATGTAAGATGAATTCTCGCCATCTTTGCCTCCAATGAAAACTCTTAGTTTCTGTGAACATGAACTTGTTTGGAATTAAGAGTCTTTGACGATGTTATTAATTAGATTAACATGAGCTTTTACTGGAGTAGGGTGGGTGCTAATCCAATATAAATGATGTCCTTCTAAGAGTAGAGGCGCAGAGGGAAGAGAACGATGTATGAACAGAGATTACAGTAATGCAAGAAACTGCAAGGTTTGACGCAATGCATATAATAGCAAGGGACAAGGGAGCAAAACCTCTAGATCTTTCAGAGAGCGTGGTTCTACTACAATATTGTTTTCAAGACTTCTAGTTCCCAGAATTGTGAGCTCCTGCATATCAGTTGTTTCAAGCCATGTAATCTGTAGTTCTAGAGAATACCACCCTGTTATCCTTCATTGCTACTGCCACAAGTTTGAGCCTTTTCTGTCATAATGACTCTGACAATAGTGACCTCATCTTTTAGAATATTTACAGTTCCCTGGCTCCCCAATTTAAAGGTAATATTATTACTCATTATTTCCTCATCAAGCAAAGTTGTGTGAGATTAGTACCATCAAAGGAAAGAAGAAAGACTATGGAAAGAAAGACAAAATAATAAGCATATCAACTTTCAGGCATAAAATGAAATCCCCATAAGAATAGCAAGTATTAGCTGAAATAATTAAAAAAGAAAAATTTTTATTTGAGACAGATCGAAAACATCTAGGAAATGAACCAACAACATGACCACCACCCCCCCACCAGCAATCATAAACCTAAACCTCTTAACACATTCAAACACATATGTGGTAGTTACATAATCTGGTGTCAATTTACACAGGGGTGAAGTCTAGCCTGTCAATCAGGTCAGAGCTTGATGATCTTATTTGGAGAAACCATGGAGATAAATAGCTCACTGGAGGCCAGATACGCACAGACTCTCTGCTCAGTCTTGCTGCTGACAAGACACATGAGGCTATGCTATAGTCCTGGAGCTGGAGGAACTACATGGAGACCCACACTTCCACCACCACAGGATCCACAAGACTTTCCACCAACTGGCCTGTGATCTTTCTTCCTGCAATCGGTGTCATTGCATGTGCTGAGTGAGTCTGCAGAGGAATTTATAAACTGGTAACAGACTTTTGGGATAATATTGGACTTATGGACTTGATCTGGATTGGGCCAGGATGTTTTCTTATTTTTTTCCTTCATTTATTTAATTTATTTATTTTTATGTTTGGTCTTTTTAAGGCATGTTTTCTTAATCTACAATTGCTCTTTTACATAAAGCTTTTCCTTGTACACATATGAGTCTTCCTGGATTTGTTTCTCTGGTTAACTCAGACTAACACAACATACAATAGTTATTTTAATTTTTCCTAGATTAGAAGTTAATTTTAATTATTGGATATATTGTTCTATTACCCAAGATATATTTTATTTAAAAATACCATCCTATGATGTCTGTGTTGAAAATTCCTCAGGAAGCATATCTAGAAGGAAAATTGTCTTACTTAATCTGATACTAAGTACCTATGATTTCTTCTTCTTTTTTTAAAATAATTTTATTGAGGGCTCATGCAAATCTTATCACAATCCATATATACATCCATTGTGTCAAGTACATTTGTACATTTGTTGCCATCATCATTCTAAAAACATTTGCTTTCTACTTGAGCCCTTGGCATCAGCTCCTCATTTTTTGGTTTCTTCTTTCAGTAATTTCTCATACAAAGTATATTTTGTCACAAATTACCTGTAAAGGATCAAAATGACTGTGATGTTCACATTGCAGTTGTTTTTATCTTTTAAAAGTTATTTTTTACAAAATATATCTATAGAGGTGATGCTATACTTACAGAGATTTAATTATAGGTTGTAGTAGCATACATAGCAATTCAAGGAGTAGATGGGATTACTTACACAGCAATATTTTTTAAAGACTGTATTAGATTTTATTGAATTGATTATACTGACAGTGTGCTACCTGAATTTTTCACAAGCAAGTCAATCTATTTCAAATCATTATTTCTAAGTGTTCTCTTTCCCTTTGATAATGTAAGACGACTACATGAGAATTAGAGTTGAAATAATCTATAAGAAATTCCTGAAAAAATATGCCATAGGTACTTAGTATCAGATTAAGTTAAAAATCTTATTTCGTCTAGATATACTATTAAATTTTTTGGTTTAGTGATTGGAAAGATTTCACATATTATAAATTAGGATATGTCTTATGAAGACAAAATTATTTGTAAGTATTGAGTATACATGTGAAGATACATTTTAAAAGCCATGTATAATTTTTTTCTTTTCTCACCTTTGAATGTTTTCTTTAAAACATTCAAAATAATATAATACCAATTTTCTGTAATAAAATAAAAATTAAGATTTTAATTTTAAAATCGAGAATCTTTTTCATATTGACAATGTGTACTCTACACCTGCATTTTAACAATATGTTATTTCTTTTAAAATTCAAAATTTAGATGTTTTTTAAATATAAAATCAAATTTTTAATTTTAGTTAAATATTTAACATTTAGCTTAAAGTTGTACTATTGTTAAGATTGCTGACTCAATCTTCTATTTGAATGCAGAGTTGAAATTTTTTACATGCCTCTACTTTGTGATTAAAATCAAGAACTTTTTATACTGAAATCATAATTCTTCCCTATGAACTAATGGACTTCTCTTCTTACTTGAGCTAACAACTTACTTTCAGCTCTCCAACACTAAATTAAATATCTGGGTAGCCTTGCTGACTACTAGAATTTGGTGTCCTTTAGTTGATGTTTGGATTGGATCTAATGACAATTTATCCTGGAACTGGAAAGGTTAGCAAAGTATCCTTTGGGGGACCTC